GGGGGCCAGCCCAGCTCGGGTGGGAGGGCAGCTGGCAGAGTACTCTGAGGGCCAGATGGTGTTCTGGAGGGGCTGGGCCTGGCCTGTCCTCCCCGCCCAGGCAGTGGGGCCAGCTCTACCACACGGCCATCCCCGAGCTCCCCAGAGCGTAATTCCACAGGCTTTGTGGGGTGCCTGGCACGGATGCCCCCCTCCTACAGGGCCTGTCTCTGCGGGGATGATGACGCCATCTGCAGGGAGCATGCCATGCTGGTGTGCCCTCCACGGCCCCCTGCGGCCCCACGGTGAGGGGCTGGTGCTCAGCTCCGCTCCGGAGTGTGCTCTGGAGGTCGGGGCTGGGTGCAGACTGAGCCTGCGGGCCTCCGGAGTGCGGGCCGGAGCTCGGGGCCCCTCCACAGTCTGTGAGGGAGAGAGCGCCACTTCTGTTCTTGCTCTGATCGGAAGGCGCCAGGAAGAACACGTGGTGCCGATGACCTGAGACTCGCAGCCTGCCCCGCGCTCTTTCAGCAGAAACCGGGGCTGTGGCCACAGATGACAGCACACTCCGGCTCCAGCTGCCAGCCAAGGCCTCCCTCCGTGGGCGACCCCATGCCCAGTCTTTTCTGGCTTAGGTTCCCCTCCGTGCTCAGGGGCTCTGGGCTATAGCCAAATGTCACCCAGCTGCCACCCAGTTAAGCAAGCCAAGTAGGAATTTGGAATTCCTCCCGGCTGCGCCCGAGCCGTGGCCCGGACCGCTCCTCCTGGAAGGCCCTTCTCCTTCTTCCTTCTTGCGTAAGGCCTGGCAGCTGCCCTCATCCCACCCTCTGGCTGTCTCAGGTAGAGGGCAAACCCCAATTGTGAACCCTGAGCTCTGGGGGTGACTCTGAAAGCCCTGTTGGTATCCTTCCTTCTGTCATTCCCCATCTGAGACTCCCCCAAGGACAGAGGCCCTGTTTTCATGTCCTGTGTCAGAGGGCTCAGAAAACCCTGTCAGGCTCCACAAGCAACTGCACAAGCCATTCCCATCGGGGGCAGCTTGAGTCAGGGCTGTGGAGGGGCTCAGTGCAGCTCGGCTGTGCCCCTGGACACACAAAGGGCCCTGAAGAAAACGCAGACCATCCCCTGCCAAGGGCAGAGCCCCCCGTGGCCTCTTCAGCAGTGAGACAGGTGTGCTTGAGCCGGGCTGTGAGAGACATACTCGCTTTGGGAACCTCGGGGGCTCCATCGCTATCTACCAGGGACTGCATTCTCAAGACAGGCGGGGTGGCCTGACCCCGAGGTGGAGGCGACAGGGAGACGGAGCTCTGAACTCGGAGTCCTGGGGCTTGGTTCCCTCTGTCTCTGAGAAAACCCTGGAGAGGCTCTGGATGTACCTGAGGCTCTGCCGCTGCTTACATCTGGCTTGGCTTCCATGCCCCTGCACACTCCATCTTCCTTCCTCTCCTTCTTCTTTAATTGCAGAGAGCACATGTGCTCTCCAGGGAGACAGAGCGGAACAGGAAGCACCCCAGTGGGGTCTGGTCACACAATCCCTTTCCCATTTCTCCATCCTGTTAGGATTCGGGGCGTGTAGACACGCCAGTGCTTTCGTGTTGCCAGAGCTGAGACGGGAACCGTGGCTGGCCGTGAGGGCTCTGGCTCCCTTACCACCGAGCCACGGGGCGGGCCCCACTGTCTGCCTTTCGTGGAGCTGCGGTTGCCACCTCCTGGTTTCACGAGCAGCTCACTGGTTCAGTGAAGCAGGACCCAGGGAACGTACCCCCCTCTCGATCGTCAGTTTCACTCTGTATGTCTGGAGCTCCACAGAGGGAAGGCGCCTCACGACACGAGCTGTCCCACAAAGAGCCGCGCTCCACCAGGCAGCAGTGAGCTGGGTCAGGTAGAGGCTGGATGTCTCCCTTGTGAGATGTCTCTTAAAGGAGATGGCTGGGCAGGACCAGCAGTTAGCGTAATGGCTATGTCGCTGGACTCCCACGTAGTCGATCGCGGTTCGCGTCCCAGACCCGGTGGCTTAAAACTCACACCGGGTATGTGTGTGCGTGCCCAAGATCCCAAGAGGAGAATGGAGGAGAAGGGATTGCGGCGTGACCATCCCCCCTGGGGGGTTATTTCTCGCTTTCTGTCTCTCTGTCTCTGTCTGTCTGGCGAGTGTACGCGCCCTATAGCGAAAACCTCTTAAAAAAAAAAAAAAAAAAAAAAAAAGGACATGGCAGGGCTGAGAGGGGTTCAGGGGGACCAGATCTTCTTTCCTGGCCCTGAGGTTTGGGTTCGGGTTCCAGGGTTCTCAGTCTCCTCCCACCCTGCCCACCTCGGTGCTGAGTCAGAGCTAGCTCCTCTCCAGCCTCTGCTAGGATTCTCTGGCCTCAGGCTACAGTCTCCACAGCGCCCCCTGCCAGCAGCTCTAGGATGTGGCAGTGGGTCTGAGCGGTGCCTGGGTCAGCAGTGGGGTGGGGGCAGACCCCAGGCAGGGGTGCTGCTTCTCCCCCTAGGCCGACGTGGATAGCTGCCTCACAGACCCCCAACATAAAAGAGAATCCATACCGAGGCTTTGTCTCCCGTCTGGGCCCGCGGCGGCTTGGCTCCCGTGTCAGCGGCCCCCTTGGCTGGCAGCCTGGCCAGGGCTGTCTGCAGCTGAAAGAGCAAACTTGGAACTTAATCCGGAATTCTGCGCAGCAACCGTACAGCCCGGGGAAGTTCTCTGGCGCTGCTGGTGTGGGTTCCCTGTCTTTCAGCTCACACTAGGACTGTGAGTGGAAGAACTCTCCCTTCCAGACTGCTGTGCGATGGGGAGGGTTTCATGGCCTGCCCCACTCCCCAGTCACTCTGCAAGAGGAGGCAGCCCAAGGAGCTGCTGACAGCTGAGTAAATAATAATGCTGCAGCCATCGTGTTTCCTGGAGTCCTGAGGACAGGAGGTACGGAATAAAGGAGTTAGGGACTTTGGGCTACAGCCCAGGACAGGATCGGAGACACCAAGAAGCCTGCCACCCTGTCCAACAGCCTGGTGGCCAACACGGCTGTCTTCAAGACAGCTGACCAGGGACCCCTTAATGGCCTCCTGACTGTTCTTCACACAGTGATTTTCCTGGGTCTGACAAGCCTGGGGGTGATCCGTCCCCACCTCCCCGACTTCATCTTGTTTCGCTCTGAGCCACACCCGTCTCTCAGGGCTCTTCCTCACTCAGGGCGAAACACCTGCTGGTCTTCCGCATGGGGGCCACCCCCCGCCTCTGTGAGTCTGGCCTCTTCCATCCCCCACAGATGCACTGTGTAGCCCCTCCTTGGAGAGCAGAGCCCTCTTCTCACCCTCCTGAGCTCCCCGCCAGCCCTGCCCTCCTCGCCTCCTGCCCCTCCACCCCGCGACCTGTCACTACGCTGTCCTCTCCCTTTGCCACGGCTTCTTGGACTGTTACAAACCTGCAACCCCGTCCACCTCCCAGCAGGGCGGGGACCACCCATGCCCATCTGCTCCCTCTAGTCTCCCTAGGACTTGGCACAGAACCCCAAGTGCTTCTCAACAAAACATGTCATAGAATAGAATCAAGAAGCTCAATTCACTGTCAGGTGCCATGGCTAAAGGATTTGGGAGGGCGACCGAACTGGATCTGAAACGCAGTCCCACCCTCGTGCACTGTGTGGCCTGCGAAAGGCAAAAGGCTCTCAGCGTCTGTCAGCTCCAGTCCCCCAGTCGGAAAGGAGCAGTTCTGGGGGACCCTCTGGCACATGGATTCCTTTCTAACCCCAAAAGGACCATGGGCCACTGCAGCGCTTGAGATTCGCTGTGGGTGGGCGGGAAAGAAAGAAGATGCAGACAGTGAGGCCGACTTTGGGATGTTTCTGGGGGTAGCCTCATAGTGGCCAGGATCCCTGGGAGTTTATATGCCACGTGTCCTTCTAGTGCTTACCACCTCAGGCGCTGTTCTACGCCTTGAACAACAACGCCGGGCTATTGTATTCCATCCTCCTAAACCCTGAGCGTGTTCATGAATTAAATACTACGATCACGGCTCTGTGAAGGTGGGAGACACTGAGGCACGGAGCACTTACTGCCCAGATGCTCAAGCCAGCGAGGGAGCTAAGACTGGCTCCCCGGGGATAGGCTCCGAGACTGTGTCCCTGTCCCCGTTGTTCTCTGACACATTCTCTCAGGATGAAAGACAGAGGAACCCATTGCACACACGGATCCGTGGTCCTCCCCGGGTCCTTCAGAAGGATACAAAGCATCTAAATGTGACTCCCTCTTGGAAGGGGCCCAGGGTGCAGGAGGCCCCCCGAAGAATGACCAAGGCCTCACCTCCTGTTCCAGCTCCTGGATGCGATGGGATAGCCGCTTCACTTTGGCTTTTGCACCCTCTGACTCTGCCGTCAGCAGCCGGTTCTTTTTGGACAGTTCAACGATTTTCGTGGCAACGACATCTCCAGCCAAACCAGCTGTCCCTACAGCGAAAGAAGTGGGAGGGCGATTAGTCATACATCGAGCTCATGCCGTTAGCACAACACTAGGGTTTTATTTATTCTGCTGCGAGAGGGCAGATCGTTCGCCAGAGAGCGACAGAAGGAGCTAAAGAGAGAGACACGGTCTTCATGGGGGGAATGGCCACATCACAATCCCTTCTCCATCCCTCCATGCTGCTGGGACTTGGGGCACGTGTGCACATGCACCTGGTCTGTTTCCCAAGCTACGAGGTCGGGACTCAAACTGCAGTTGGCTGAATGAGATCTGGCTGCCTTAACTACCAGGCCACGGAGCAGACCCACGCCAGGGGTTTAAAAGCTAAAGCTGCTTGGGACCAGTGGTTAGCGTAATGACTGTGTCGCTGGACTCCCATGTAGTCGACTGCGGTTCGAGTCCCAGACCTGGTGGCTTAAACTCACGCCGGGCGCATGTGCGTGCATGCCCAAGATCCCAAGAGGAGAATGGAGGAGAAGGGATTGCGGCGTGGCCAGCCCCCCTGGGGGGTGATTTCTCGCTTTCTGTCTCTCTCTGTCTGTCTGGTGGGCCCTATAGCAAAAACCTCTCAAAAAAAAAAAAGCTAAAGCTGCCTGGTGTCAAAGTTCAGGGAGCAGCAGGGGCTCAAGAGTAGCCACATTCGGGAACCAGCAGTTAGCATAATGGCTATGTCGCTGGACTCCCACGTAGTCGACCGCAGTTCGTGTCCCGGACCCGGTGGCCTAAAACTCACGCCAGGCGCATGTGCGTGCGTGCCCAAGATCCCGAGAGGAGAATGGAGGAGAAGGGATTGTGGCGTGACCATCCCCCCTGGGGGGTGATTTCTCGCTTTCTGTCTCTATGTCTCTCTCTGTCTGGCGAGCGCACGCGCCCTCCAGTGAAAATCTCTCAAAAAAAAAAAAAAAAAAAAAAAATCATTAGCCACATCCCAGGAGCTCTGGACTCAAATCACTGAGTGGAAATGTAGCCACTCGGAGATTCACTGAGAAAGTTATAAATCAGAAAGTATTAATTCTGTGGGAGACAGGTTTATTGCTCTAATTCTTCACACCAGCCCAGAATAGGGTCACTATTCACGCTCTATGCCCAGTGATTTCTCTGTGCCCTCCAGTGAGTCGGGCAAGTCCTCCTGACCCCTCTGTACCTGCCTGAGTCTGGGCTCCGAGTCACATGGCTTGTTCTGGCCAATGGACATTCACCGTTACAGTGCAGGTAGAGACTTGTGCAGGTACACTCGTTCTGTCTGCTTATGCCGTGGCCACACGGACGTAGCCAGGCCAGCGGGCTGGTGCCATGAAGGGAGGCATGGGACAAGGCTGAACCATCCTGCCATGTCTTGCTCAAATCAGCCAATCCCCACTCACCCCCCGACTTCTGAGTTAAATAAGTGCTGATTGCTGAATGCCGCTGAGGTTATCCGGTTGACTGTTTTGTTTTGCTTTTGCTATAAGCCACGTGCACTCATCAGAGAGAGACACAGAAGGAAAGCGAGAAATTATCCGCCCCGGGGATGGCCGCACTGCAATTCCTTCTCCTCCAGTCTCCTCTCAGGATTTTGGGCATGCATACACACACGCGAACCCTATTCTCAAGCAGCTGGGTCCAGGATTTGAACTGCATAGCCTGCCATGGAGGATCTAGCACCTTAACTTCCACACCACCTTCTGGCCCATGGTTGCTTCTTAAATAAAAATTTTTAGTAACACTTAACCAATACACACGCACACATTTATTTAGCAAAAATTTTTTTAGCTTCTACTGGGTTCTGGACCCTCTCAGTGTTAGGGACTCAGTGACGAATAAAAATGACCCAGAGAAGACCAGTCCTGTAGCCTAATGGTTAAGGGACCTGAATCCCACATGGCTGACCATGGCTTTAATTCCATTCGCTTGAAAACCATGCCAGGTGTGTGTGTGCATGCCAAAGTCCCAACGGGGTGGAGAAAGGGAGGAGAAGGGATTGCGGCCTGACTCTGTCCCATTGGCGGGTGCTTTCCCCCTCTCCCTCTCTCCCTTTCTGTCTGTCTGTTTCTCTCTGGTGAGTGCATGTACCTTCTATCAATTTAAAAATGAAAAAAGAGGAGGTTGAGAAAGACGATAAGGGAGCCAGTGGGTGGCGTGGTGGTTAAGGGTGCTGGACTTCCACATGGCTGACTGCAGTTCGAGTACTGGACCTGGCAGCTTGCTCTCTCACTTTCTCTCTCTCTCTCTTTCTCTCTCTCTTCTCATATCCCTGTCCGGTCAAATTAAAATGAGTGAATAAATTTTTTAAAAAAGAGAGAGAAAGACAACAACAAAAAACCGAACAAAATGGGGGGCCAGCAGGTAGGGTGGAGGTTAAGATGGCTGGATCCCAGGCGGCCAACTGTGCAGTTCAAGTCACGGACCCGGCCACTTGAGAAACGCTCCAGACAGGTGTGTGTGAATGCCCCGAATTCCGAGAGGAGGGAGACCTGGAAGAGACGGGACTGCAGCATGACCATCCCCACGCTGGGGTGCTCTCTCCTCTCACTTTCTTTCTCTCCATCCGGTGGGTATAGGCACCCTCTAGCAATTTTTTTTTCTTTTTTTGGAGAGGTTTTTTGCTATAAGGCACATGCACTCACCAGAAAGACAGAGAGAGACAGAGAGACAGAAAGCGAGAA